CCTCCGATAGGAGGCTAACCAGAATTGATCCACGGTTGTGGTCATTTTTTTTGACTGCACGTGTTCCTTTCCGTTATGTAACCACCTAATTCAAATTATCGCTAGGCCTGGAATCTGAGCTTTTGTCGCCGTCTCAATCTCCCTGATAATAGCGTGGTTGTTGGCATCTCTGCCGCCTTCGATTCTTGTCCGAAGTGGGACCCCGAAAACCTCGACTGGAAAGTCTTGCGATAGAATTTTAAAATCGCTTGGTTGATGTACATTGAGTGCCGCGTCTCTTTGGGACTCCGACTGGATGAACACTTCGGTATCGTTTCTGCGCATTTGACGAATTTCGTATGCACATTGGATGTGATCTTTTGCCTTTGATAGCAGCTCTTCAGGCTGCAATTTTTCTGCCCCGTCGATTCTTATCTTGACCGATGTCTTTGTCATTTGTGGAGCTACGACCGACGCGTAGGTCCTTGGTTGTGACTTCACCGTTGCCACTCCTATAGCAACATTACGGGCGGAATCCGCGAGGGTTTTCTTTACAATCTTCTCCAGTGCCATTATCCTTTCCTATATCGGAGATTTCTTCTGCGATATTTCCGACCAGACCCTCTTGTGCATGTAGAATGCCTTCACGGCCTCGTTCACATCTTCCATTGAGGATAAGTCCTCCTCATCTATCTCTCCTATCACAATCAGTCTGACCTGCTTTAGTAGTTTCCATAAGATTTCAAGGTTCCTATCCTTTGGAACTGTCTGCGCCCCGCTGCCGTTATTTGTGGTGACCATTGTCGCTTTTTGCGACGTGTCGAAACCGCTGGATTTACCAACACCAGTACCCGCACTCGCCATGTTGTAGCACGGAAAGCGAAATGATCAGAGGAGGGTAAAGAAGATATAAAAATAAGATTCGCAATGTCAAATTGGTGATAGAGGCAACGTGGAGCGCTGCACAGGTTTCCGGCAAAAATTTATGTAACTTATCTAGCACCCTAGGAAATAGACTTTGCTGCTTATCATACTCGTTTTAATCGCACCGAAATCAGACTTGCCTACTTGTTGTTACGGCCTTGTATTTCGAACCTTAGGGACCTCTGATACTATTGTTCTTTTCGGGTATGGTATTATGATCCTATATGCGCACGAGCCAGCTATATATTATGAATATTTGTATATTTTTAGATATCCTTCTTCTCTTCTTTAGTTTAGAATCTTCTAAATTATATTCCTGATTAGAGTCCTTATCTGACTCGACTTCGTCATCCTCTAACCTGTACTCTATTCCGATCGTTACACCTATGCAGACCACCAAAAACCCTCTCCCATTTTTTGATTTTGATTTCATTTGACCTGATTGGGCGCCCTATGGGCCCATGCAGGTGGCTATAAACCTAACTATATATTTACATGAGGGGGAAACCATTTCGATTAAAATCCCCTCTCACTATTAAACTTTATCTTTCTCTGTAGTCCTTTGTTACCTATAGGAAGTGCAATTAGCCATGAGTCCGGCACAGAACTAGCCATAATAAACCTCGCCATCCTTTCCTTGCTCTCGTGTGCCGAAAAGTGATGGTTGTGGTCTTGAATCCGACCGCGATGATGCAAATTGTTGTGGTGTTGGGACAGGGTCCTGGACTTGTTTGTGCGGGCGTCCAGACCCTCTCTTGAAAAAGGCTGGCCTTTGGTTGGACACAAGTGTGAACCCTTGGTCGTCTATTTGTTTTGCCGCTGTTGTTAGTGTAGTTGCCGTAAATGCTTCGCTTTTCCTTCTTAATTCCATCGTTTTCTCCATAAGTCCATGCCATGCCCGCTGAGCGCTGGCCGTGTATGCCGCAAAGCTTGGACACGTCCCTTTCTGCCACGATTAGTGGGCCTTGTCACAGTTGCGGCACAGCACCGACTTCTTCGGGCAGTCTCTAGTCTGCTAGGTGCCCGCACACCCTCCACTTCTTTTTGCCTTGAACCCTCTCTCACTCTTTATTCTACCGCATCCTCCAGCTTTGCCGTGGAGGACGCCGCAATGAATCTGTCAACCAAAACTTTCCGGATTTAATCGACACGTCGGAAGGAGCAATTTTTGTGTCTAAATGGCTGAAAAAATCTAGATTCCTCGAATAAATATGCCCACGGTGAGGGGCTAACCCGCCTTTTCTTTTATGTTAATCGGGGGCTCCACGGATAGAGCGGGGGAGAGGAACTGCTTGATCGCCAGTCTTGAGGTAGCAGGAGTCTCATATCTTTTTTTTTTCTTTGCTTCAAGCTTTTCCGTCGTTTTCTTTGCGCAGTTTCACATGATATAGCATAGCTCTTTATTCTAGACTTCTCGTTGTCCCGTAGTGTATAGCGCTCCTATTCTAGCGTCTTTTGCCCTTCGCAGGGGTGCAAGTTCGCGAGGCCTTCAGGCACGCGCAGTATAAGACGCTAAACAATATCATCAGGATCATCTTCGAGTGCTGGATGAGGAGATTATGGCTTTTATTTGCTTTGTTTGGTTTGTGTAGGCGCCAATACGTCGGGTAGTTTTATTTAGACTGGGCTAACCGGTTGGTGAAAACCTCACGTGCTATGCGCGGGCACGTCGTTAAATAATATAAATGATTCAAGGGCCCAACACAGTTTGGCAATGCAAATACGAATGGAGAACATGGGGTTTAACTCGTATTTACACAGAAGAAAAGCATCCGGAGTATTAAGTCCAGGTTGTCCATGCGGCTACCAATCACAGAACCCCAAGCATATGACTATGTCCTGCCCTCGATGGTCAAATGGTAGAGCTGAGATCTGGAGACAAACCAAAGATCGATCCTAAGAAGCGATGATGAACAATCCTGAAGATATAAAAAGGATAACACAGTGGATCCTAAATCATGGTTGGATAGAGCAATTCCAGATGACAAAAGCGGTCGAAATACTGCTGAGGGAAAGGAAAATGTCAAATAATGCTTGGGGCGGATAGAGATGATCTGGTTAGTTTATATGGATGGCACTATAGTGTAACTGCGCTTCCTAAAGAAAATATGTGAGAACTAAAGACAACAAGTAGAAAGGTGTGGGAGGTTTTCATCATAAAGGTTTCCTCCCAGGTCAATATTATAGACTGAAGAAACCTGCATGGGCCCATAGGGCGCCAAATCAGGATAATGAAATCAAAATCAAATATAAATGATTAAATAATTAATTATTCTGGGGGACAAAGGCCGTCAGAGGTCAGTGGTGTCCTCTACGAGCCTGGGAGTGAAAGATTCCCTCAGAGCCAGAATTCAACTATCTCCCAACGGTCGAATCAATTTTTTTCCAAAATGAGAGTCTTGTCAGAATGGGTAATTCTGTGTTGATTTTGGTTGGAAATACCGAGTTGCATAGGTTTCTCGACCACATAAATCACGAGGAAATTTATCAATACGATTCAAGCCGATATCAGCTTAAACTAATTATCGCACTCTTTTTCGATAGGCCAAAAAAATTTCATGTCGTTATTTTACGTCAAAAAATGCCACAATACGGCCCGCGACCCTTTCTTCCGACACTTTTTTCGACTTTGAATTATCGATGGTCGCCAAACTTAAGTTGCTGAGGATGAATGTTTTGTGACGAAATCAAAGCCTGCGAGTGAATATGAGAGAGATGCTGAGCCGTGGAAGCTTTGGAAGTGGTCAAAATGAAGGACTCAAGATAGCAAGGGTATAGCCTAGAAGATTGACAGAGGTAGTCAACCCTTAGAAATTCTTGTAACTTTCTGAGGTGATGAGCAGTGGCTGGCCCTTACTTTTAGATCTGCTTGGCTTTTTTTCGAGGCGCTGGCACGTCGGGTAGTCTTGACAGACTACGCTAATCGGCACCTGGCCACATATTTTAGTGTTTTTTTATTATTTTAAATCATTGAGTGTATGCAGTTATTCTAGTGTTGTGCGCCGACACGAAGTTTAGTGACCAAAAAATTTATACACGTTCCATGCGTTACAAATAGTCATGTAATCACTAGAAAATTACACACTCACTACTACTCGTACTACTAAGTGCGCAGAAAAGACTGGCGTTTCGTTAGTCCCTCACTCTGGTGATTTTGATTCGGTGAAAACTGTGGATGAGTCCAATGTGCTCATGACCGTATTGGCCCACTTTGGTTTCAATTTTGTGACCCACATTACACCAAACCAATATCCAATATACATATTCAAGTTAGCTAGGCTTGTGTAGAATATCAAACGTCCGGAGGCAAGTTGTGCGTTGATATGAAACTAGATAGTCTACAGATTGGCGCCTAAGAAGTAAAGCAAGACCTGGGGGTCTCGGCGATCGCTATCTGATGTATCTGGTGATCTATTTGAATTCAGGGCTATCCCATTTCATCAGTCTCCATAGCTCAGTATCTTTTAATTGAAATACCACTGGTTTGATTTCTTTGCTAGAGTTCCGTTTCCGAATGTCAAAGATATTTATGCTAAATTTTTATATACAAATTCTCACTTTGTTTCCTTATTCCGAGATACCATCAGCCTAATGCGGATCTAATGGCGGGCATGAAGTCACATCCAGGGTCCCGAACTATGCACTATATTTGAGATTGTTTGATAGACAAAAATCATTGACTTCTTAAAAATTCAAAGGGTGAAAAAAGCGCTCAGAAAACATTGAGACCATCTTCAGTTGTGATTGAATCAAATACTTTATGATTTGCTCGAGAAACTTTTGAAACGCAAGTCCTCGTTCAATGTGCTTACACTATCTTTCTTCTTGACAAAACGGCTGGGAGCTCTCCAGATTCATGCGTAAGCAAGCATCATGTTTTGGCACTAGGATAACATCCCACCCTTTAGCATGCTCTGCAACGAAAACTAGTGGCACGGAGGAGGCCTTGCTGATGTGTGATCACCTGACCGACATGTCGAGCCCAAATCAGCTCCCGCTTCGCCTTCGGCACAATCAAGGTATCTCTAACCTGAATAATCCGACGTCGTAATCACTTCAGTCAAATTAAATCGGCGTGGATAAGCCTAAACTACAAAATGGCGACAATTAAGCAGCGCCTCGCCCTCTCCTTCATCAACTTTCTCACTACAAGTCTTGCCGATGGCACACTCAGCGAGGAAGATAGAGAATCAGTTGAAGTAGCGCAAACATGTATTTCCGACATCTTCAAAGTAGAGTCAACCGAAAGCGCACCCAAAGACTCAGAGTCCCTACTACAAATTTATTCTGTGTACGAAAAACTTAAGAGCAAAACACCGAACAATGCTTCGAAGGATACGGCAACTCCAATAACCACCTCAACCCCCAGTGATGATAAAAAAAAAGAAGCAGAGAAGTTGAAATCACAGGGAAATACATCAATGGCCAACAAAGAATATGACACAGCCATCGATCAATACACAAAAGCCCTTGCACTTGTACCTGGAAATCCCATCTTCCTTTCTAATCGTGCAGCTGCTTACAGTGCATCTAAAGATCATGAAGCAGCACGTGCCGATGCTGAAGCAGCTGTCGCAGCTGATCCTACATATACTAAGGCCTGGTCTCGACTTGGGTTTGCACGTTTTGCTCTCGGTGATGCGAAAGGCTCCAAAGAAGCCTATGCCAAAGGAATAGAGTATGAGGGAAATGGGGGTAGTGAAGCCATGAAGAAAGGATTTGAGACTGCCTCAAAACGTGTTGCTGATCTCGAGATAGACGAAAAGACTGAAGCCGATGATACCGTCACGGATCGTGGTAACTCTAACGTAGGCTCAGGAGGAATGCCAGATCTCTCCTCTCTTGCTGGTATGTTTGGTCGAGGAGGCGGCGGTGGCGGTATGCCTGATCTCAGCTCTATCATGAGCAATCCCATGTTTGCAAGTATGGCTCAAAATCTCATGAGTAACCCGGAAATGTTGGGTAATCTCATGAATAATCCACGTCTCGCTGAGCTCGCCGGTCAGATGAGCGGCGGAGGCGGAAGTGGCGGCACCCCAGACCTCAGCAGCATATTGCAAGATCCTAATATCGCAGAAATGTGAGGCAAAATTATTTGAATTCTTTTCTTTTGCTAACCTAAAACTAGGGCGAAGAAATTCATGGGTGGTGCGGGACGAGGCAATTGACAGTGATCTTCAGTTTTAAATGGTTGGAATAATAGTGATAATATTACAATCCTTGTTCAAAACTCCTGTTGAACGATCGAGCCGTGCCGTCAACTTATCATAATCTACGTCGACCTCAACCGTGACAAAAAGTATAATAACGACCCTGCGGACATTTCAAGCTGCTCTCCTGTCTAGAGCCTCTTGATTCACAAATTTTCGGCTTGCCTTTTCCCATGGTGATATCTAGATAGCAGAATTTTACTATTCATCAATCAGATAGGAAGACCCTACAACACCAATCCCGGTCTGCAAATATAAAATGCTACCTATTATGAAGAATAGTCATGCGGCTTTTTGCGTTGCGCTCAGTCGGGAGCTTACACCACGAGGGTAGTCCTATTAGCACCTGTGACTAACAAATATTTTAACCGCAATAACTAGCAACTCGAGAACTCCCTAAATCCTATCACGATGAAAGTGATAACTGTCGCGGAATGTTAATGTGGGTGCACGAAAGACGTAAGCTTAGGAACAAATTCGATACATGATAAGCTAGACTTCAGTCGACTCTTTAGATGTAGCTAAGGCGATCCAATTCAAAAGTTCTTGTCGACAGTGACGTGTGACTTGCTTGAATTAAGTAGTTCTCCGAGGTTGGTACAATTTTTATACCTGCTACCAAATCATGGACCAATATCGCGCACGCTTTAACTGTTGTTTACCTTGCGAACCCCACTATCCCAAGATATTCGATTGTGAGCGTTAATCTAGGTAGATAATACCGGCTACGGTTCTAGTGCTTAAAATGAAATTAAAATTTCAACTGTCCTGATTTGGCGCCCTAAGGGTTGATGCAGGTATTATGGGAAGACATTTTATGCAGAATGGCCCATTTTGACATGCGGAACACTCACACTCATATTTCGTTCACAAGTATTACTTGAAGTAACCTAACGGCATGTAACCTCTTCTATGAATACCGACCGCAGGGAAAAGCATGAATAAACCCACAGCTTTCGAGTGTGTTTTGTCACTCCACTGATACGATACCGTCGCGAGAGAATATGCTGGATTCGAATCAACTTCCTACTAGTAATGAGGTAGGTTTCTAATTTGCCCAGAATCTCCGTGGGAGCACGGCTCAAACTGTGTAACATTGTACCATCCTTCCCAGTCCTGAGGCTCGTCGACAACCATTAACAGTCCAAAGTGTATTCAGCCATATACTTATGACACATGATCATTGCTTTGTATACATGTTAAACAGAATAGAATAGGATTTGATTTGATTTAACGTCGTGCCAGTGCGCAGCATGTAACTATTGAAACGCGCCGGCCGGCCCAGCCCCCAGCAAACTATCCGACGCTGTGACGCGCCCTAAAGCACCCAGAAACTACAAATTAGTCAGAGCAGCTATCTGCCACGCAATCAGGGCCACCGGAAGGCGTGGTAGTGCAAAGAAGGGTAAGACAGCACATTGGTGGACGTTAGAGTGCTTATAGGCCAAACGTGGATACAGGATATTCAGGGATGAAGAGAGCAGAAAGGATTTCCGTCGCACAGTTAAAAGTGCGAAACGCCAATACTGGCGGCAAAGGTTCTCCAAAGCCACAACCAACGCCGAAATGTATCGGATGGCACGTTGAGCAAAGCCGCAACCTATATCCACTGCTCCATCAGTCCAAACTCCCGACGGTCTTGTCTCGGACCTAGGAAATCGAGCACTTTCATTTCGTGACCTTCAAGGCAGATTCACCAGCCAAAATGACGTCGACGCTGAGAATCTTGAGCTGCGACGCGGAAACTTCCCATAGGTCTCAAGCGTTACGGACGAACAAGCCAAGTGAGTCACAACGACCTGCCAAAATAAAGCACTCGGGGCAGACGCAATTTCTATTCGTCATCTTAGGACAGTCTTGCCGTCAATTTGTCACGCAGTGAGAGTACTTTTTGAGGGCTCACTCCGACTGAACTACTTCCCAAAGACATCCAAGCTAGCCCAAGTAATTCTTCTCCTTAAACCTGACCATAATCTCAGCACAGCTTAAGTATGGAGGTCTATTGCATTACTCTCCTCCTTCGGCAAAGCTATTGAGAGACTAGTTGTAAGGCATATGGCATGCACCGCCCTATCGTATAAGTCTGTGCTGCAGCAGCTCTTTGGAGAACTCTCTTGCAGACCCGCTAACGATCTTGTCTTATGCGTTATCCACGATGTGGAACATGCAATGCAAAGGATGAACAAAACTGGGTGGCCAAAACCAGCCATCACTTGGAAAAAATCCTTCCTGCAAGAACGATCCGCCCGCTGAAGACACGAAGACAGGGTAACAGACCAGGTATTCCTAGAATTCGGGCTGCCGTAAGGATCGTCTTTATCCCCAATTCTCTTCCTCCTTTACATGGCTGAAGTTTTGGGGGGTAATAGTTGGAGATTTTGCTATGCAGATGATTTTGCTATCCTCGGCATAGGCTTAACCTCAAACGAAGCTACAGTAACTGTCCAGAGAGAGGTCTATGCAGTCCTAGAGTTGACTGCTGATAACACCGTCTCTTTTGACCTAGACAAGGCCGAAGTAGTCTATTTTCTCGGTCCCAGAGCCAAGGGGTACGAACTTCCGGCTATAAGGGTAGGCACTCGCGATGTACAAGCATCCGACGACATCCGATGGCTCGGAGTACACCTTGATCGGAGCCTTACCTTTGAGACTCTCGTCGCTAAGTGGACTAGCAAAGAAATGCGGCTACTGCAACAATTCCGACGACTCACTCTGTGCACCCAGGGGCCAAGGCCCGTTTTACCAACCATGCATTCGCACGGTGGTTATACCAATCGCGTTGCACGCAGCGGAATCCTGATGCCCGGCGCCAACTAGGGAAACATATCAGGATGTCGCGAAATTTCTACAAGAGACAGTGCAAAGCAATCGATCAAACTTCTGCCTTCGGAATCTGTGCGGCTCTACTGACCTGGCGGACAATGCCTATCACAGCCCTGAGAAGGAAGACCGGTATTCCACAAGCATACATCCTGCCCGAGGAACGCAGGCTCAAGACTGCCGCACGAATCCGAAGACTGGATGATTACCATCCACTTCGACCTCGGGCCACGGAAAGCACTGACAGCGCTCGTCACCGACTAGGACTAAAGACATGCAACAAAACCAGACTTGGTTTCGACAGAGTTCATGATTCAAGGGTCCAGAGGGTGTACCGACTTCTGCCAGAGGCTGAACTACCTCCACCGCTCCGACCTCCAGTCCCCCCCCCCAGCCGATTCCTTGTTGGACAAGCAAGAAAGAGGCTGCCAAGTTCACAAGAGAGTGGCTACCTACACTCCCACCCGACTGTCTCTGCGTGTACATTGATGGCTCTTGGGCTTCAACCGACAGAGTGTCATGGGCCTTTGTGACCTTTATCAGTGGCACAGGCACGATAATCGATCAAAGCGGCTCAGGCAAAATTAACAATGCGGAGGTCTACGACGCAGAGGTTCATGGAGCTTTGGCCGCTCTTGAAGTAATCACCACCAGGAAGCGAGATCGAGGCTGCAGGTATCCAGGCTTTATTGTCGGGAATAATAGTTTCATCATCCTGACAGATACAAAATTTTTGTAAATGGCAGCAAGAGCAACTGCACTTGTAAAAATATAATGGATCCTGGGCCACGAAAGGCTGGTAGGAAATGAAATTGCTGATAAACTCGCTCGCAGAGAGCTTGAATCGTTGGACAACACTAGGATAATGGTATGATGACCCTCTCCTCATCTGGACGGAAAGCTCGCGAGCTGGACAGAAAATTGTTGACGGACTGGTGGCATATCATCATCGTATCAACCAAACTACTGCCACACTTCAATACGAGTGTGGGAGGGAAAAATCAATCGATCTCCTTGTATAGTGTTGGAAAGCACTAGCAACATGGCGATTGAAAAGCGGAAAGAGAAGGGCGCCAGCTCTGGAAACAATGCTTGGACCAAGTGGATGGCAGCTGTTCAGGGACTACGTCCAGGAGAGCGGAATATATGCTGTGGCTGGTCGGGGGATGGCAGGGATATTTGTGACTCGGAGGTGATAGATCAAAGGCCTAGGTGGTTTGGCATGGAAAGAGGGATTGGAATCGAGGCTCAGGCACGTGGTGGCTGAGGCAGAACGATGGAAGGGAGATTGTGTAAGTTTTTCTTTCGTGAATGCATAATCTCGCGCGGAAGTTTTTGTTTTCATTCTGAGCTGCTGAATATGTCATGATTCAACACATAAACTCGTTTTTGCATAGTTCCGGTCATTCAGGCGTGACGAAGTCTACTTGTACTTTACGTTAATTAACCTGATCCGGCCCGACCTCACTGGTGCTCAAGCTCCAGTAGGAGTGCGACGGGAGTCACTTTACCTAGCACGTTAATGAACAAACAAACGCAAAATTCGAGAAATTCGAAATTCCCCTTTTTCCCACCCCTCTCGAACTCGTCGCATCCATCTTCGAATTTTGATCGAGCTTCTGGCATTTTCACCATGCCTCCTGTTCGCAAAAGGCGTCCAAAAGTCTTGTTGGACAACACGAGAGTCTACCCGAGGGCTCTCGCACAAACGCCGGGCTTTGCCCAGTATTCAAAATGCGTGGAGTTGAGCAAGGCCTCGATTAAGGGGAAGGAAAAGGCTGTGACGACCAGAAGGGAGCACAGGTTAGCAGATGAACAAGTCGAATCAGGTAAGGACTCAGATCTGGAATATAATTCATAAGATTCTAAACTAAGGGAAGAAAATAACAAGAGGTATGTAGACATATACATATATACATAATTTACAATTGGTCCGTGCGTATGTAGGATCACAACACAATACTTGGAAGGAACAATAGTATTAGAGGCCCCGAGGGTCAGGAATACAAGGCCGTAACAAAGGCCCTCTCAGCTGTCGCTGACCTCGATGCTGACATGATCGGGTCAGATGAAATTGTTGAGGAATTTTCTGAGTTATCCTCCGTCCCTTACGGGATTGGAGAATCATCCAAACCTCC